GAAAAAGAAAAAAAAGAGAAACAGAAAAAAAAAATAAAGAAAAAAAGAAAATTAAAATTAAAAAAAAAAAACAAAAAATAAAGAGGAGACAAAAGAAGAGACAAAAGAAGAAACAAAAGGAGACAGCAAAAGAGACAAAAAAAAATAAAAAAGAAGAAACAAAAGGAGACAAAAGGAGACAAAAGGAGACAAAAAAGGAGACAAAAAGAGACAAAAAAGGAGACAAAAAAAGGAGACAAAAGAAAAAACAAAAGGAGACAGTAAAGGAGATAAAAAGAGAAAAAACAAAAAGCAAAAAAAGAAACAAAAGGAGAGACAAAAGGAGACAAAGAGAGAGACAAAAGAAGAGACAAAAAGAGAGACAAAAGAAGAGATAAAATAAAAAGCAAAAGAAGAAACAAAAGGAGACAAAAGGAGACAAAAGAAGAGACAAAAAAACCAAAAGGAGACAGAAGCAGAGACAAAAGGAGACAAAAGGAGACAGTAGATATGTGTATAAATTAAAATACTTTTCCTTCTATATCCATATCTTCAGCAGCAGCACCCCGTGCTGCTGCTGCTGCTGCTGCTGCTGCTGCTGCTGCTGCTGCTGCTGCTGCTGCTGCTGCTGCTGCTGCAGGCGGAGTAGCTGTGCATGATATGTTTTAAATAGAGCTGCGTATACACCTGAAATAGTTTTAGTGTATTCATCTTTTATTGAGAGAGCATAGCTAGGTGTATAATCAACGAGAAAAATAAATAAATAATTATATTTTATTATTTCTTTTGTTTGTATTATATATATATTTGTTTTGTTTTTTTTCAATAAATTTATTTTTTGTAGTAAAAAATATAAAATTCTCTCCGCTGCTGTGTCTCTTAATCTATATAATTCAGGTAAAGCCATTTGCTGCATACAAATACCACAAACCCTAAACCCTAAACCCTAAACCCTAAACCCTAAACCCTAAAAAAAAAAAAAAAAAATTAAATTGTAAATAAATAAATTATATGTAATAAATAATAAATAAATAAAAATAATAAATAAAAAATGTTCGGTGGATATATTTAAAAAAAAAGAAAAAAATATAATAAACCCTAAACCCTAAACCCTAAACCCTAAACCCTCACACTGTAATACAAACAAAAAACCCTACACGGAAAAATAGAAAGCAAAAGAGACAAAATAAGAAAGAAGAAATACTCATTTATAAATATAAACAAAGGAGACAGAAAAAGAAAAAGAAAGAGAATAAAAGGAGACAAAAAAAGAAAAAAAAAGAATAAAAGGAGACAAAAAAGAGACAAAAAAAGAGACAGAAAAAAAAAGAAAAAGAAAAAGAA